ACTCCAATTTCATACTTGCAACCATGATACAAATATTAAAAAAAAATAAATAAAAAAAATAAAAATAAAAAAAATAAAAAATAAATAAATAAAAAATAAAAAAAAAATTAAAAAAAAATTTTAATTAAAATTAACAAGTGCTGATTGCTATTTATCGTAGCACCTGGAGTAAATGGTTTGAGAATTCGTTTTACGGAAATATAAAATCAGAATTCATATATATGTACATATGTATGCCGGTGCTATTGTTTTAATTCCCCAAACTTTTTGCTGAATGCATAAACCCGACTGTCGCAGAAAGGTTATAGACCATCTGAATTAGATTGCGTTATGAAATCAAACACTTGACTATTTTTTAATACAAATATTTTGAACCATATTTAATTATTTGGTACCGTTCTGAAATGATGTACATGATGTTTTGCAATTATATAAGGAATAGATCCGGGACGTAGATCGTTTGAGCCTAAAGCGAACGCATATGCTTTTATTAGAGAATCTTCTTTCTCAACAGGCTCCAAATAGGATCGAATGCCATTGATGAGCTGTAATTAAACCAATTCGAGTATTTGAAAAACATTATTTAAGCCAACTATTTACCAAAGATTCATCACAATTTAAATAACATAAAGCCGGGGCATAGTCCGACCACATGCGCCTTCGCCATTTGCTGTCGTATTTTTGAGCCAACGGCACTAAAACCAAAGACCCGAACAATTCATCGCCATAGCTTGTTGCTTGGAAGTGATCAACGAACAAAGAATACAGACTTTCGAACTTGCATTTTCCTTGAAAGATATTAATAATGTTAGTTATCGAGCTTTAGTGCGGTTATAAACACTTACCTATAGAAGCTTTGTCAAAATCAAATGAATAATCTTTGTGTTTTTTGTACAATCGGAGCAAATGCTTTCGCAGCAAAGGACGTATCTCGTCTGTCAGAAATTCGCATTCAGGACCCATAAACGCAATCATAGCGTACATCAACTCCTCGGTTGGTGTTACAATTTGCAAATTAGAACTCGAGTCCTCCAACTCAGTAACAAGTGTGAGAGTCATTTCCAAGATTTCGCGTTCTAAAGGCATAAATTAGCTGGTATGAACAAAAAAGTGCTAATACAAAGAAGACATTTTGCGACCTACCTGAGAAA